AGAGACAACTGCAAAGTTATCCGAGATCTCTCCACCCAGCTGTACCCTCGCCCGCATACCACTGTGCAGACATTCAAATAAACTTACAAACTTACGCGGGCAACCAAACTTATGCAATACCAGCCACAATGCCTCGGGGTTCACCCTATCAAATTCCCTGGTGAAATCAACAAAAGCGAGTACAACGGCTGGTGTCGTTCGCTACAAGTCTCCTGCAACCGACGAACCGCAAACACCATATCTATAGTGCTGCGACCCGAACGGAATCCACATTGCTCTTCTGCCACCTTTCGTTCTGCAACCAGACTGACGAGGCGGTTGAGCAGGATTCGGGCAATCACCTTGCCCACACAACTCAGCAAGTTGATGCCACGATAATTCGTGCAACATTGCTTGCTCCCTTTACCCTTGTACAGTGGTAGCACAAGGGCATCCTTCAGCTCAGGAGGCACCTCCTCCTCGATTCACACGTGTTGCACGAAACGGTGCAGCGCAGTCATCAACGGCGGTCCGCCACGTTTCAATACTTCAGGCGAGATCCCGTCGGCACCGGCACATTTGCCGTTTCGCAGCTGAGCAATTGCTCTCTGCGTCTCATCCAGTGTCGGCGTCTCCGCCAGACTCATCTACATCCCGTGCTGCTTAAGGCTGTTCAATGTAGGCCAGTCAATCTTTAAACGTTTGTACAAAAGTTAGTCGAAGTGATTTCGCCAGATCTGCGTCATATCTGCAGACCATGTGCAGGTAACGCGTGAACTAACAGCGAACAGCGTCCTCAGCGGCTCCAATCTCGGTCCATACACCGCCTTCAAGGAATCAAAAAATTCCTTGTGTTGGCGACGTCCGGCGTAGCATTCCATCTGCATCGCCTTCTCCATCCAAAATGCATATTTTATGCGACGGAGCTCTCGGGTCAGTCAACGTCGAAGTTTGCGAAACTGACTCCTCTTCCCCAAGTCACTGGGGTCTGCCACATGTGCAGCAAATGCTGCATTCTTCTACAACACCAATGCGCCAATCGTCGCATTGTTTTCATCAAACCAGTCAGGCCGCTTACATTTTGCGCGCCCGATGGTCTCCTCGGCAGCAGCCATCACCTTCTCCAGCTCAGTACGTTTCTCCACAGTACCGAGAGAGAGAGTGTTAAATTTACGCCAATTCACGGCGGGAGTGCAATACATAGATTTACGAAAAAGTATGTACAGTTTGGTCCGCACCAATTTGTGATCAGTGCCACACTCAGCTCCACTCAGTGCACGTGTCATGTGCACTTCACGCATATCACGCTGACGTACGATGCCATAGTCGAGCAGTTGAGCGTGACCACTCCGTGGGTGCGTCCAAGTTGCTATATCACTCGTACTCAGTGCAAACCATGTGTTTGTGATCGTCAGACCGTGAGTGGTACACAGTGAGAGCGGCCTGTCACCGTTCCCATTCGCTGAACCAATGCCATGCAGACCGATAACATCTGTCCACACCGATGCACCACGCCCAACGCGCGCGTTGAAATCACCCAGCAGAAATAGTCGGTGGCCCCTCGGCACAGGCCGTATCACGGAGAACTGAGTGTAGAATTGATCATGCATGTCATCAGTATAATACATGGTCCGACCGTACGTGCCTAAAAAGGTGACAAACTTACCTCTTTCGAGTCGTAGACAAACAGTCATCAGTCGCGCGATGATGCCAGTTGGTTCACCCACGAGCTGGCCATGGAGGCGATCGGATATTGCAAATCCGACCCCATGTTCATGCGGTGCTGAAGCGGGGTTTCCCACCCAGTAGAATATGTAGCTACCAATATATATATATATATATATATATATATATATATATATATATACACGATGAAATGTGCGTAGCGCTTGTCGCGTGCCTGCGTACGTGTACTGTGGGATACTGTCCTACCTGTCACAACCACTGATTTGTGATTTTGGTTTGTGTCCATCTGATAGACGCAAGTTTCGCCTGCGCGGCGTTTTCCTGTAGGTGTACAGTTAGCCTTGATTTTTCCTAGAATAAACGGCTTACTACGTAGGTGTTTCTGATTTCGTCCGTGTGAAAATTGACGACAGAGGTCATTCGGATTACAAATGGCACATACGATTGCAGCACCTGTGCCTTTATCGAATTATTTCACGGAAGATCTACTACTACTTAGCAATCAATACAAGGGAAACTACATTAATTACGTTCATCCACCTTTGCTTCAGAGCGGTAATATGTTTGATGATATAGTGAGAATCAAATTACTGTGACATCACGTCGGTAACGAGAATCAGCGACATTTCGATCGTTTGCGTAATGACATATGAAGACCTACCCATCTGTGTTGCATTCCCTGGACCAACTTTGGGGAGGAAAGCTAGATGTGTTCACAGTTGACTACAGATTCAACAGACGGCGAACACAGTCGAATGGGGGGGATGAAATGCGTTTAGCATTTGATTTCTCACCGCACTCTTTCTGACTGTGCGCATGATCATATTCCACCGATCAAGTTCGAAGTAGCAATACAGTTACAGAAAATAAGTACAGGTGTTTTCAACGAAAAAACCCGAGAACAAGTGCGATAGAGTCCGACAGTGTGATAACCACATTAAGGAAGCAGCTGTATTTCCCTCATCTAACTAGTCGGTTTCACATGACGTACACAACATTTCTCAGACTAGCTGGGGCCACATCTCACCAAAACCTACGCAGCGCAGAGAAGTTCGCTGCTACTGCTGCAGTGAACGCTACTCGTCCACAACTGACTGTCAGTGCCTTCATTCATTGTGCAGAATTCGTTGTAAAAATGTCAAACTTGGTAGGTATGTGTTTCCAAACGGAAATAACTCGTACCACAAAGTGCATTACCGAGAACTTACACCAGAACAGGATCAATACCACAACAGTTTTTAATCGTAACATAACGGCAGTAAAGCCATTTGTCGTGTGTATCCAAGTAAATGTGCAACCTGTGGTTACGTCGATACGACCTGATGCCATATCACAACTGCCAGAATGATATCATCCTACGATACAACTATGATCTCACATTGCACAATTGGTGAACGCACAGAGGGCATTTTCTTGCACGCATATCCTACCGTAATTCGACTGATCACATTCGAGTGTGGGTTTCTGGGAGACCCGGCCCAAACGTACTTGGCCGCGATGAGAGTAAACGGCTTCCTGGCGTCCTGTTAAAAGTCAACATTTTGGAAGCTCGTCCGGGATTATGCAAAAATATGCAGCCTTGTTTGGAAAAAAACTAGACCAGTTGCCGAAGAGTTACGCGGTACATTTCAAACTGGAACCACAGGCAGCATCGAGATTCTGGAAAGCGCGTGCGGCATATTATGCTCCTATGGGACAAAGTCAAAAGCGAGATCCGCGGACCACACGAAAAATGTGCGAATGAATCCGTCCAGTGTTCCGATTGAACAGCCCCTGTAGTGCCTCTACTGAAGAGCAACTGAAATATAGGAATATGGGGTGACTACAATGTTACAACCACGTACTGCAACCGGATCGATAAACACTGTCACAGATTAAAAGCATTTACGCCTCCACCTCATGTGACAAACAATTTACCTGAGCCACGCTGCAAGAACGCAAGGTGCGAACGGAGTCGGTCACTGCGGAAAACTGAATGAACCACAACCATCACTTCGGACCCACAAAATGTTTACCCATCTACGGGCTTTTATTGGAGGTTGCGTGGCGCGCACGACCTCTGTGCCTATTCTTCACGCACATACATCGGCGGTTGTCAAGCGTTCCTTTACTGCCGGAACGTTGGTATGGTCCGCGGTTGGGTATTACTGTTTGATCTCCTGGCATCCCTCCCTATATTACTAACACCTGGAGGAGGAGTATCTAAGTCTATCCAAGAGATCAGACTCGAAAAGAAATCACCTGCCTACACCACCCTAAACACACACCTTGGATTATTTGGTTATACACGCATGCCATTTGGAGTAAACTGTGCGCCAGCAATTTTTCCAAGTATTACTGACTTATGGGTGAAAGACGTCAAATACATGCGCCAACTTGGGTTACAACTTGATCACTAGATGCACTAATGATGAAGTACTACACACATTGGATGTAGTTTTATAAAGACTGTCAGATTCCAAACTTGTTTTACGGAAGGAATAGTTCCAAGTGTAAGTTACCTTAGATACTTATTGTGACGACATGAGCTACGCTCATCATAAGAAAAGACTAGAGCACTACTTAATGCACCAGCACTCAAAAATGTGAACGAGTTGTGGTCGTTCCTGGGAGAAGTCACAGTTTTCCCGATTCATACAATTGGTAATAACTCATTTGCAACAGTTCAGCCAAGTCCTGCGTAAAAATCAAGATTGGAATCGGAACAGCGTTCAAGAAAGTCCTTTTAACACTAGTAATAATATCATAATAATTTAACACTAGTAAAAAAACTTTTGGCATCCACCGAAGCCAATGGTTTTTCTTGCGATGCTTCGCCTAACGGTATTGGAGCTGTGTTGCTGCACAAACTGTCGGACAGTTCTCATCGACCTGTTGTTGTTTATGCATCATGAACCCTGACATCAGTAGAATGGAATTAGTCTTAGCTTGATCCAATGGTAACCGTGGTTGTTTTCGGTACTATACGATCTCATAAATATTTATTTGGTTAAATCTTTGTGATATACACGGGTCACAAAACGTTTGCACAACATTATGATTATGAAAAAGGAACCCAGCAGATGGCCTCAGTCGGAATGGTCCATTGCGTCCTGATTCACTACGTACCTAGCAGGCAAAATACCACTACTAAAGTGGCTTAAGCGATCTTGAGTCGCAATCGCTTCAAAGAACGTCGGTTTATGGGGAAGTTGATGACTCTGTGGAATAGATGTATCGCGGTTGTGGGAACAACTACGCCAGGAGACGTTATAGGTAGCTTGGCCTATTACATCAAAGCAACGACGGTGCAACTCAGAATCCGGGTAAAACAACGTTCACAGGTGAACACTCACCCCAGTGACTACGCTTGATATGCTTTCGTAAACTGCCATTCCGAGTAAAAGATGCACCGCAGTGTTCACATTTAAAAGGGCGTTGTTCTAAAAGTAAAACCGAAAGTGATTAGTACCAAAGGAATCAAAATTGGAAAACATCCAAAGAAAATATGATTATCTGTTAGATTAGGAATATGCAGTCGACACAAAGACTTAATAAAAAATACTGAAATCGAGGATTCGAATTCTGAAACAGTGGAAACCTATGCAACACAGGATAGTTGGGAGACAGCTTTGAAGAAATCAGTCTCGCGTTGCACTGACATCATGATGATTGCCGGAGACCTAAATGCACAGGTGGGGATACTATAAATTCATGAACGCGAACTCGTTGGTCAACATAGTCACGGTAGACACAGGCCAAGCAATGGCGATCGTCTACTTCAGCTATGCGAACCACAGCTTTGTCCTACAAGCACCAATGTTCGGCTTTCTCATCGTAACGGACTACCTGGAGACCTCCGAGGCCTGGTCAACCGTGGACACAGATGGCCCACACGATTATCACTTACCGTTCGGTGAGGCAACATGACGTACTGCAAGTCAATTACTTGACTTCGGATCATGCGCAAGGGCACGCTAAGGTCGCCGGAAAGGGCTTGACACAGACAAGCTCGCTGCCCCAAATGTTCTCTGTGCATTTCAGGACACGTTAATCCCTAGTTTGCGTTCGCTAGCCTCTGACGTTAAGACACGATGGACACATTATCAGAGAGCTTTACGAAATTCCGCGGCCCAGATCTGTGGCTGTTGCGGGCACGTCAAATATTCCCGCAAAAACGCGCCAGAAACCCCAGCAGAATGGCTGTGGAAAGCGAGGGCCAATTCCTCCCCACAACGCAGCAGAGCTCAGCCACTCCGAGACGCGGCCCAAACTGCGCACCTTTTGACAATGGTCATTTACAAACTACCACCTCTTCGTGGTGACAGTTTTCCTTAACTTAATAACCCATAGCACTCTCTGTGATCGCCCTTTGTCGGTCGTAAAAGAGCCTACAGAGGACCACTTGTCTTTTCTTTCTCTTCGCCTCAGTTGGGAGTCGGTCGGGTCGCGTGATTGCGTGTGAATCGTTAGCTGGCCAGCCTTCGCGTCTAAGTCATTAGCGCGCGTCTATCGTACCCCCTCTCGTGTGCGTCCGTTTTCGAGGCCTCAGCGTCTATACGAACAAGTGCGGCTAAGATCGTTCCCACGCTCGTTCAATTTTCCGTCTCACCGGCTAAGCCAGCGTCATCAGGACAGCGCAATTCCGTTCGAGTGGTCAGCGTAGCAAGCAATTATCGTAGGCGTGCCAGCGACCCTCTTATCAGGCAATTACGCAATTATCTCAAGAGGCGGCGTTCCCTCAATTATAACAGCGGCGACGACTAAGGCAATCTACCCAATCTATAACAGTGGCGACAGAGTTGGTGAACCATGACTGACGAATATGCCGATTTAAAATTGATGCTGCAGCAACAGCTTAAATTGATGTCCGCGCTAACCGAAAAACTTTCAGTTCTTCCCTTCATGCAGGTCCGACGCGCAGTTCTCAGTCAATGGACGATGTGGTTAGCGGCATCAGCGAATTCCTGTACGAAGCCAAGGCCGGAGTAACGTTCGAATCCTGGTACAAGCGGTACGAGGACCTGTTCACCGTTGACTTGGCTTGCCAGGACGACGCGTGGAAGGTCCGGCTGCTTCTTCGCAAACTTGGTACCCTCGAACACCAGCGCTACACCAATTGCATCTTGCGAGGAACCCACGCGACGTTACCTTTGACGACACGGTCCGAACGTTGTCACAGATTTTTGGCGAGCAGTCCTCTCTGTTCAATGCTCGTTACCAATGTCTGCAGCTGGTCAAACGTGATGCCGACGACTTCATCACGTACGCGGGCATGGTCAACCGTGAATGCCACGTTTTCAACTTGGCTCGCTCACCGAGGACCAATTCAAATGCCTGATCTTCGTCTCTGGCCTCCAATCTCCACACGATGCCGATATCCGGACGCGCCTCCTGTCCAAGCTACAACAGGATGGATCAGTCACACTCCAGAACCTGGCCGAGAAGTGTCAAACGCTGCTCAACCTGAAGCACGATTCTGCCATGATCCAGAACGCCGCCGCACCGGGTATGGTCAAGGCAGTCACAGCACCGAGGGCGCAATCGTCCGCGCGCCCCACCCAATCCGATCGAGCGAAGTCCCCACCCTACGCGTGCCGATTCTGTGGTGCCTGGCATTTCCACCGCGACTGCAAGTTCCGCCAGCATCGTTGTCAACGTTGTGGCAGGGTGGGGCACCGGGATGGTTACTGCCATCCTCCATCTCCCAAGGGGGCCAAAACTGGGCTGGCCCCCACCCGCGATCCAAAGAAGAGGTCCCGACCCAGGCGCACACCCAAACCTGGTCCGGTTGGCAGCTCCCTGAGCCTGCTGGCCACGTTCCAAATCAACGCTGCGGATCGGAGAACGTTCGTTGACGTCTTGATCAATGGTCAGTCGGTCCGATTGCAGTTGGACACTGCGTCGGACATCACAATCATCTCCGAGGATCTCTGGCGATCCCTTGGCAAGCCACCTTTCGAACCGACTTCCCAATCTGCCACCAGCGCCAGTGGTGGTCGCGTGCAGCTAACAGGGCAGCTGCACTGCTCCGTCTCCTTCCGGGGCACCACGTTCAACGCGAACTGCTACATCACAAATGCGAAGCTCAACGTGCTTAGTCTCGACTGGCTCGAAACCCTTGGCTTGGCCGATCTTCCTCTTCGGGCCATCTGCAACGTGGTACATTCTCCGACAGTGCCAAACGACCGAACTGACGACAGAGCCAGTCAATCCGCCCCCGTGTTCCAGCCTTCTCAACATGCCTCAAAGATGCAACCACACCAATCACCAGTTCCTTGGCATCCGCCAGCAAAACCGTGGTCTCGAGTGCACATCGATTACGCTGGCCGCATCGATGGCATTTCCTACCTGGTCATGGTCGACGCCTATTCCAAATGGCCGGAAGTGGTCGCCGTCAACCCACCAACCGCATCCGCCACTCTGGCTTGTCTCCAACGAATCTTCAGTCAACATGGCCTTCCCGAGGTGTTGGTGTCCGACAATGGTACCCAGTTTACGTCTTCCGTCTTCGAAGACTTTTGCCGCCGACACTGCATCGAACACCTCCGTTCACCGCCTTAACATCCCCAATCCAATGGTCAAGCGGAGCGATTTGTCGACACATTCAAGAGCGCGCTTTTGAAATCTCGCGAGGAGGGGACCGTGGATGAGTGTCTTCAAGCCTTCCTGCTCTCGTACCGGTCCACACCGAATCCAGCTACGCCAGGATGCCAGTCACCAGCTGAAGCATTGATGGGCCGCAAGCTACGCACCACAAACGATGCGCTCATTCCGACAGAGAAGCCTCCTACTCACTCTGGTGCCGGCACCAAACACAAAGAATTCGCCGTCGGAGCCCCAGTCTACGCTCGTGATTACCGAGCAGGTCATCCTCGCTGGATCAAAGCAACAGTGACAACCAGGCGAGGTGATATGCTTCATGATGTCTCCGTGGGTGATGACACCTGGGTTCGCCATCGCAATCAACTTCGTCCGCGCCACGGAGAAACCTCAGCGCCAGCCAGCCATCACGTGCGCCTGCCGCTGCACATCCTGCTGGATACCTTTGGAATGGCTCCACAACGGGAGACCACGGTCGAAGCCGTTCAATCGACGCCGCGTCTCGAAAACCCACCTTGCCGACGAACAGAAAGAATCCGGAGGTCACCGAAATCCCTCCAGGTCAATCCTTGCCAGAAGCGGTACGCTTTCTCTTCAAAGGGAGGTGTTGCGGGCACGTCAAATATTCCCGCAGAAACGCGTCAGAAACCCCAGCAGAATGGCTGTGGAAAGCGAGGGCCAATTCCTCCCCACAACGCAGCAGAGCTCAGCCACTCCGAGACGCGGCCCAAACTGCGCACCTTCTGACAATGGTCATTTACAAACTACCACCTCTTCGTGGTGACAGTTTCCCTTAACTTAATAACCCATAGCACTCTCTGTGATCGCCCTTTCTCGGTCGTAAAAGAGCCTACAGAGGACCACTTGTCTTTTCTTCCTCTTCGCCTCAGTTGGGAGTCGGTCGGGTCGCGTGATTGCGTGTGCATCGTTAACTGGCCAGCCCTCGCGTCTAAGTTATTAGCGCGCGTCTATCATAACCCCCTCTCGTTGCGTCCGTTCCGAGGCTTAGCGTCAATCCGAACACGTGCGGCTAGGATTGTTCACAAGCTCGTTCAATTATCCGCCTCATCGGCTAAGCCAGCGTCATCAGGACAGCGCAATTCCGTTCGAGTGGTCAGCCTAGCAAGCAATTATCGTAGGCGTGCCAGCGACCCTCTTATCAGGCAATTACGCAAGTATCTCAAGAGGCGGCGTTCCCTCAATTATAACAGCGGCGACGACTAAGGCAATCTACCCAATCTATAACAGTGGCTTCACTAGACAGGTTGCTAGCCAGTAGATCTTCACACAGTCTCTCCAATTAATGGTAAGCTAATGAGCAATTCTCCCTATATATAGACACAACGAACTGCGCAGAATCACAAGTGCTAAGCTCACGGAGCTTCTCAGGAAGGACCGCGAGGCCTGTTGGACACAACGAGTAGCTGAGATAAAGCGAGTACTGACCTCAGGAAACTACCGCACTCCTTCCACCAATTCGGTCCAGCTGAGGCAAAACGCTGACAGCGAATGAGGCTTGTGTGAAAATGACAGCGAACTAATCTACAGTCATCACCTGTGCGCTGTGGGGAGCACTTTGAAAGTCAGTCTAACTGGCCGCTAGCACTAGCGATCCCATCTTCCGAAATCCACAGTGACTCCTGCTGCGTGGATGTTTATACGCCGACTAAGGTTGTGGTTTCCTATGAGCTTCGAGTGCTATAGCGCCAAAGTTCACCTGGCCCAGAAAAACGCTCCCCAGGCCACTTCCAATATACGGGTCTTGTCCTCATCCGTAAACTGACATCCACCTTCCATGAGATTTGGACTACTAAAACCATCCCATCCGAGTGGAGTTTAG